TTGGATTTTATGAGCCATTCATGTTTAATGTCATTATTGATATAGGTGGATTTACATTTGCCATTTTACTTGGTTTTCTATATCTCATGGCTTTTTTGTTCCTTTCTTCTTCCGTTACTGATTTCTTTTGCCTTAAGTGAATGTTTTCTAATGTATTTTAATTCCTTTTAATCATTTTTTCCACTGTGTTTTTTGTTAATATTCTTTTAACAGATTTATTGAGACATTCACATACCATACAGTTCATCCATTTAAAGTGTACAATTCAATGTTTTTTGTCCTATCAATAATTTTTTTAAATTGTGTTGAAATATATATATATATCACAAAACTTGCTACTTTAACCATTTTAAGTGTACAATTTAGTGGCATTATTTACATTCACAATGTTGTACAACCATCACAACTATTTCCAAAACTTGTTCATCACCCCAAGCAGACATTTTGTAACTGTTATCCAGTAATTCTTCATCTTCCTTTTCCCCCAGCCCCTGGTAACCTCTACTTTCTGTCTATGAATTTGTCTAGTCTAGATATTCATATAAGTGGAACCATACAGTATTTGTCCTTTTGTATCTGGTTTAATTCACTTAGCATGGTGTTTTCAAGGCTTATCCATGTTGTAGCATGTATCAGAACTGTATTTTTTTTTATGACTGAAAAATATTCTTTTGTATGGATACACCACATTTTGTTCATTCATTGGTTGATGGACATTTGGGTTGTTTCCACATTTTGGCTAGTATGATTAATGCTGCTATAAACATTTGTGTACATGTTTTTGGTGTGGACGTATGTTATTTCTCTTGAATATATACATAGGAGTGGAATGACTGGGTCATTTGTTAATTCTATGTTTAACTTTTTGAGAAATTGCCAAACTGTTTTTCAAAGGTGCTGTACCATTTTGCATTCTTGCTAACAGTGTATGAAGGTCCCACTTTCTCCACATCCTCGCCAACACTTGTTATCTCTTCTCCCCTTTTGTGGGTGGTAAAATGTACATAATGTAAAACTTACCAGTTTAACTTCTGTTTTTGTTTTTTGGCTGCACTGTGCAGCACGTGGGATCTTAGTCCCCCGGCAAGGGATCAAACCCGTGCCCCCTGCATTGGGAGCTTGGAGGCTTAACCACTGGACTGCCAGGGAAGTCCCCTCATGGCATTTTTGTGGGTAGCATTGTTTCAGTTTTAAAGACCTGGAAAATTAGAGTAGTTGTTGCTGGCCTTTAAGATAGGGCAGCTTGTAAGCGGCAGAGGTGAGATTTTGAACAAGAGTCATGTTTGAATCCAGAAGTTATTTTTACTTGCTCCATTCCTCTGTCTTGCTCTTAATCTCTCAGCCTAGCACATTAAGGAAAAAGTATCCAATTCTTATGTGATGGTAGAGAGATGACTGTTAAAAACAGCAGAATAGAGCAGAGTATGCTATGCTGAGACCTGCTGTACCTTCCCAGCAGCGTTGGAAATCTAGAAATATGGGGAACTTAGAGGTAGAAGAAACTGAGAAACCAAGAGACAGAAAGGTGAGAGTATATAAGGGATATGGATGGCAAGCAGCTTGAGGCTTTGCCAATGGACTACTCTGCAAGAAGCAGAAGGTGATTTAGTTCTGTGGTCTGAGAGAAAGGTATTTTGTTTGGGGAGAGGTTTCATTCAGACTGCCACCTTTTCCATTTACTTTAATGTTATTTTGTTGAAAGGGACAGTCCCTTAGTTATCCACAGAATGCTTTTGTCTAGAATAATTTGTCCTCTGACTTTTGCCAGATATTTTTGATTTGTCTGTGGATGGAGAGTTATTGGGATGCATATAGATGGAACAATGTTGAGCATAAACAAAACAACACGAGAATATAATTTTAAGATGTGTTTTTTTTTTTTTTTTTTTTTTTTTTTTTTGCGGTACGGGCCTCTCCCATTGCGGAGCACAGGCTCCGGACGCGCAGGCTGAGCGGCCATGGCTCACGGGCCTAGCTGCTCCGTGGCATGTGGGATCTTCCCGGACCGGGGCACGAGCCCGCGTCCCCTGCATCAGCAGGCGGACTCTCAACCACTGCGCCACCAGGGAAGCCCCAATTTTAAGATGTTTTAACTCAAATAATCTAATGTTAAAGGAGTGCAAAGCAAGAGAGCAGTTAGTGCCGTGTGTGTGTGTGTGTGTGTGTGTATGTTTTTTACTGTGGGAAAAATATATAAACAATTTACAATTTTAACCATTATTAGGTATAGTTTGGTGGCATTAAGTGCATTAACATTGTGCAACCATCACCACCATCCATCTCCAGAACTTTTCTTCCCAAACTGCAACTCTGTACCCATTAAACAATAATTCCCCATTTCCTGCTCTTCCCAACCCCTGGTAACCACCCTTCTACTTTCCTTCTCTGACTGTAGGTACCTCATATAAGTGGAGTCATGGAATATTTGCCCCTTTGTGACTGGTTTATTTCACTTAATATTACATCCTCAAGGTTCATCCAAGTCAGAATTTCCTTCTTTTTTAACACTAAATACTATTACATTGTATGTATATACCAAATGTTGTTTACCCATTCATCCTTGGGTTGCTTCCCGGAAATAATTTTTGAAGAGCGATAGGATTGGTTTAGTGGACAAAGTAATAGAATTAATTTTTTAGACTTGCTTTCTATCTGTGCTTTGGTCAAGTCACCTCTTAGAGCTGTGGTTTTCTAATTTATAGGAAAATGCCACATTCTATAAAGTGTAAGGATTTACCTTAAAAACACCACTTTAATTTTGGTGTGCCTCAGGGTTTCGTCCCCCCTCCCCAACTTGCCCAACACTTGAGAATATATTATGCTATTTCTTCCCACCCCCCAAGATTGTGACCCCCTCACTTTCAGAAGGAGGTGTGTATTCGGGGGGCTCCCAGATGGTGCTAATGAATCCGTCTCCCACTCTTGTGAACATTAACGTTCTGTTCAAGACCCCCGAGTTCTCCTTCAATTCCTGACTTATAGAGTCAATTGTCTAGTGGAGGTTTTCACCTCTGTTTCAGTGTCGAAAACTGTATTTGTCACTGACATCACTAACTACCTACTATTCTCTACCCTCCCCTTTGAAAAGAAGTAGAAAGGAAAGGAAACTTGAGTCCAGGATTGTATAAGCCAAGAAAGCTCAGAGCTTCAAGAAGGGAGGTGGGGGTAGTGGCAGCCAGTTGTGGCTAACGCTAAGAAGAGGGCAAACAGGGTGAACGGCAAGGGGCAGTCATTTGATTATCAGTTAATTGTCAATTAGTAGAGCATTGATGATCTGTGAAGCAGACCTCCCCCACCCCCAAATGTACATATTTACAAAGCTTTGCATGTTATTTTAGGGGAGTTAATCCTCAAACCCATCCATAGACCTCAGTTAAGACCCAGTGGCTTAAAACAGTTTTGATAGCTTAGATACAGCTAGATGATGAGAGAGAGTGGAAGGAGTGAAAGGGAAGGGAGAAGCAGAGGCATTCTTTTTAAGGTTTGGGGGGAAAGGGAAGGACAGAGGTTGGTGATTTTTCATTTCAGTAACAAAGATTCAAGCATATTTATAGGCTAAGAACAAGGTTTCTGGGAAAAGATTGAGGGAGCATCATTCATTGGGGATCATGAGCAGTGGGATCAAAAGAAAGAGGTTGGAGCAAATTTGAAGTAGAGAGAATGAAGTTGAATTGGTTAGCTGATATTTTGAGTGGTAAGAAAAAAAAAATTTAAACAATTTGCCAGCCAACCCAAAGTGGCTGAAGAAAATGATACGTGGGTTTTTCTGGGTTTTAAAATTGTCTACTTCACATAAAATTTTTTGTTAGTGTATGTAGGTTGTATAAAAATGGAAAACAAAAGTGAAAGGGAGGGTGTTCAACCGTGTTATCTTTTAATTGTTTTTCCACTTTATGTATTAAAGATTTTTCTGTTTTTAGCCTCCCCAGTACCCGATGTTATCAGTCTTAAGCTTTTTATTATGCCAATTTGGTAAGTGAAACAAAATCTTGTTAGAACGCCATCTCTGGGTTAAGTGATTATATTTAAGCTTGAAGTAAATACCATGGACTAAATGGAAGTGTGGTTGCCTTATAACCAAAGATCTATAAATAAGTCAGCTGAGGTTCTCAATCTTGTGGTACATTAGAATCAGTCATGGGGGAGATTTTTTGAAAAGTACTGATGCCTAGGCTTAACTCCCAAATATTGTAATTTATTCAATCTGGAGAGGGGTTTGGACGTCAGTGTTTTTAAAAGCACTTTGGATGATTTTACTACACAGCTAAGAATATAGAATTGAGGGTTTGGGTGGTATTCCTCTATACACCTTTGCTAGATTTCTGCAAAGAGGAATTCCATTGTTAAACAGTTTGGGTCTGTAGCCCTGTCATGGCTCTGGGAGTGCCTGTGGCCAAAACCTTCCCAAAAGGGGAGAGTCAAGGTCATTTGACAAAATACGTCGTATTGGAGGAGTAGTATACAGTTAACAAACAGATTTTATTACTTGGTTTATGTCTTAAATACATTGTAGGGATGTGTATATTCAAGGCATTGGCAAATTGAAGACAGTTTTGCCACTCCATAATTGAAATGACAACTAAGTGAATACCTTGATAATGTCTTTGGAATCCCAGGAAGAAACTGAAATATTATAAGGCTATACTTGTATGTTTTCTTGACATAACTGCTGGTGTACTACTATCAGTTTATTAAGTTAAATATAGTATTAATGAAACTTTTCAGCTTTGTCCTCTCTCTCATTTCTCCTGACTAGATTCACTGGTAATATTAAATTCGAACAATTCCTTAGTTCATGTTTTTTATGTCTAAAACAATGTGCTTTTTTTCTTCTACTTGTAGGTTATGCAATGGTCTCTGCAAGATGGCTTATTCTTGAATTGGAGCTTTTTAAGACTGACAAATGCTGGTACTTCATCTTCTATAAGTGGACTATAATTTCTTTTTTCAAGACAACTACATAAGCAGACAAAATTGCAAAGATCTGCCCTGTGTCGAGTATGACAGCCACGACTCGTGGCTCTCCAGTAGGAGGGAATGACAGCCAGGGCCAGGCTCCTGATGGACAGTCTCAGCCCCCCCTCCAACAGAATCAGGTAGGACGTTTAAGATACTAGTTAAAGCTACATTCGTGTGTCTATTATGGGATATTAAATAATGGAGCATGTTCTGAATAATTTGTGAAGTAACCATAAAACTGTTATTTTAAGACATATAAACATAAGTCTTACATAGTAACAAGAAACTCAAGTGCTGTAGATGGTGATGCTTGGGTATGCAGGTCTCCCCCCCACTTTTTTCTTTCCTGGTGTCTTACACTATCAGTAATCATTAAAATCAAGTATTTAAGCCCTGTGTCAGTTCCAGAGCAAAGCATTAAATCATTTGATGTAGCCTATGGTTAGAGTATGGACTCAAGTCATATAGCTTGTGTTCAAATTTTAGCTTTGCACCATGACTTTGGGTAAATTATATGACCTTTACACCTCAGTTTTTTAGCTATAAAATAAGGATAATAATAGTATAACTACTTCATAGGATCATTAAGAGGATCAAATGAAATAATGTTTGCAAAGAGCTTAAAATAGATTTTGGTATCTAGATTTTTATGCTGGCCTCAAAACTCATAATATTCTTCTATTCTCTGGATGAATTTGTATAAGACTTCAGTTATTTCTTCATTAATTATTTAGATTTTACTGGTGAAACCAACTGGCCTGGGGCTTTATTTGTGGAACGGTTGTAATTGCAGATCCAACTTTTTTTTTTTAATAGGGGAATTTTCTGATTTTTTTGTTTTTCTGGTGGATTTTGGTAATATGTTTTTCAAGGAATTTGTCAACTTCATCTAGATTGTCAAATTATTGGAGTAAAACTTTATAATATCCTTTTTTATTATCTTTCTAATGTCTTAGGGTCTGTGGTAACATGTCCTTTTTCATCTCTGATACTGCTAATTTGTATTCTCTCTCCTGATTACTCTTTCCTAAACGATTTATCAATTGCATCAAACCTTCCCCCAAACTAATTTTTGGCTTTAACTCTCTTTGCCATTCCCACTTATATGCTTTTAATTCTTATTTCTTGTTCCCTTAACTACTTTTGAGTTTGGATTGCTGCTCTTTTTCTCATTTCTTGAAATGTAAGTTTAGATAATTAATTTTCAGCCTTCTATTGTATGTAATTTTATACTGGGACATATTAAACCACATAAGACAAACATTAAAACTTGTGATATGCGGCTCAAACAGCACTTAGAGGTGAATTTGTAGCTGAGGTGCATGCATGTGAATCACAAACTTGCTGCTTACAGTTGGTACATATTTGTGTAGAATTCTGTATGGATACGTTTTTAGGCAAAAGTACTGTTATTGTAGAGTACTTACATTTGTCATTTGTGGTTAAGTTCTTATTGTCCAGCTATTATAGATTACGTATTCTCTCTATTACAGGTATGATAGGAAAGAGCTGCGTGTGTGTGTGCGCGCGTACGCTGGTGCACTTTGCCTCCCTCCCCCCTTCCCCCCTTTCATCCTCTCCCTCTGCCATTTTAGAGAAGTGAGCAAGTCAGGTTTTAATGGTTTTTTTTGCAAATAAATGTCAACTTTATTCCTTTTCCTCTCCAGTTCCCACTTTTGGGACATGTAATACTTAAGTATATGGTCACGAGTCTTGGACAGAGTTGTTAAGTCTTTCCTGTGTCATAAATTTGTTAGCCAGTACTCATGTTTCTTTAAGCATAGTCTAAAGTTTGTGTTGGATGCCAGAGATTTATATTTTTAAACTAGGAGCTTGTACCTTGAGTTCCAGTATCTTGCTCTCTTCTGTTTCATACCTGCATCGTGCATGGACTTTTAACTTCTTCTGCAGTGTTTGTGGTTTTCATGGCTTTAGACAGAAATTAAACCTCTAACCTTTTATTTTAAGGTGTACTTGATAATTTTAAGAGCTCTTGGGTTTGTGATACTCAGCTTAATATTATGTATCTGCATTATGTCCTCTTCCTTTAAATAGCTCTTTACATTTTTGAGGATGAATGATAATTAAAAGAAAAAAAGGAACAAATTGCATTCTTTTGCGGGGTGGGGGGGCGCCACTCGGCTTGTGGGAACTTAGTTCCCCAACCAGGGATTGAACCCGGGCCCTCAGTGAGAGCACGGAGTCCTAACCGCTGGACCGCCAGGGAATTCCCACAAATTACATTCTTAACTATCTGTAGAATCCCTCTTTCGCTTTCTTATTCTCTACTTTTTAATGTTAGGATTTTAGTTATTTCAGAAGATTTGACACTTATTGGACCAAGAGGAAGCAACCATCGCATTAATCACTACCCAACTTACGGCTTACTTTGAAAATGCTTTTTTCATATTGGCATAAAGGGAATTTCTAAAACCAATCAGATTTTTCACTTAATCTATAATAGTTTTTAAAAGAGTGTTCCCATAGGAGAGAATTTTAGGCTCTAGTATATATAATAGTAAAGCTCAGTGATAAATGAAACAGCCTTGGCAAAGGCCCTGTGGGATGAACACTCTTGGGAGATGTTCATGGGAGGGTGCAGACTTTCTGAAATGGAATTTAGTAAAATATATGTCAGTAGCCCTAAAAGAAATAATTTATACTGTTGTTGTAGTAATTATATTTCCAGGGTTCTGTCCTAAGGAAAAATTGAAGTTCAACACAAAGATTTATATATAAAAGATTCAGTATAGTTTTGTTTTATGTTAGCAATAAAAATTGCAGAATGCTAAATGTCCCTTAATTTTGTTTAATTAATACTATGTGGCCATTAATCAGCTCTTTAAAAAAGATTGTTTATGATGTGGGAAAATACTCAAATGTTGAATGGAAAAGGACACAGACTTAAGCAAGTATAATCCCAGGTTATTGAAAATTTATACATATATATAGACAGGATTTTGGGGGGGTCACATAGAAGAAAAACTGCAAGGAAATAATTGAAAATGTCATTGGTGCTTATCTGTTGGTGTGGTATTGCGGGTATCTTAATTGTTATTTTTCTCTTTAGGATTTCTGTGAGCATGTATATAATACATATATACCAGGGGAAATGGGCCTTTTTCAAAAGTAATGAAGCAGACTTCCTAAGTTACATACTTGAAATGCAAATATTTTTATTGGGCTTCTGAAAAAACTTGAATTCTGTTCTATAGATGAAACTAGCCCTATAGCACCTGCGTAGTGTTCGCCATCTTAAGTAAAAGTTTGCTATTTACTTGCAAATTGGCTCTATGAGTTCATATATAAACTTTGTAAGTAGAATATATTAATGGTGGTATACCCACCTGTCTTCAATACAAGTACTTATTTATGCATCTGTTCAATAAATGCTAAAATGATAGGGAAAGGGGCCTTCTTTAAAAGGGCCATCAACCTACAGTAGGTAGAAAATTCAAGAATATACGAGTAAAAGTCAGCTTAAAATTTAGATTAGTCTCAATTTGAAAGAGAAAAATACTATCTGCTTTCAAAATTAATAAGGGTCATAAAAGTTCATTCACTTAATTGTGGAAATATTGTACACAGCTAAAGTATGGGGGGAAGGAAAAGAAGCACAAAGAATGAAAGAATAAAATTAGCCTTATTAGTTGAAAATGGTGTGACTTTTTTAGAAACCACAGTGAAGTTTTAATAATTATTTGGATAATAGTTGGAGACTAGGGGAATTGTGGAATAAAATTTATTTTTTCTCTTCAGAATGAAAAGTAAATGTTATATCAGAAACTTTTTAATCTGTAAAATGTGTACAATAATTTCTATCATGAAGGGCTCATATAATGGGAAATGTAGGCAGAGAAGCAGTATACACGGTGGATAAGAACTCAAACTTTAGAATTAGACCTGGATTCAGATCCTGACCACAGAATTGGAGCTCTGTGACCTAGGGCTAATTACTTATTGTCTGAGTTTGTTTTTTTTCATTTGTTAAGTGGCAGAAGAATACTTCCTTAGGCTCTTGAGGATTAAATGAAATTATTTTAAAGTATAGTAGCACAGAGACTGCCTGAAACATAAACTTACAATGATCATATCTTCTTTAAAAGCTTACATTATTTCCCCCTAATCTGTGTTGATGTTTGAATTTAATTAAGACTTCATCACCTGATTCTTCCAATGAAAATTCCCCGGCAACTCCCCCAGATGAACAAGGTCAAGTTGATGCCCCACCACAGCTTGAAGATGAGGAACCTGCATTTCCACATACTGACCTGGCAAAGTTGGATGACATGATCAATAGGTGAGTTGATTTTGTTTTGCTTTTTAATGTGTGTCATACACAGGAAAAACAAAAGTATTTCAGCACAGTGATTAGTACTAAGAAAAGAGGAAGAGTGGATAGGAATATCCCAGTAACCATACTGCCTCCTTAAATAGCCTTAACATCTTAGTCATTGCCAAGTACTTTGCAACCCATGGTTCTTAATGGATTTAAAAAATGAAAGGAAGTAACGGTGTCAGTAAAGTGTTCAGGTTAATGATGATCACCCTAGCTGGTGTGTTACTGAAGCAGAACCGTATGTGTGATTTCCCGTTTTTTTTCTTATTACCATGTGGGTTACTGGATGACTTTAATACTTTTTGCATGGCCCTGAGGTAAACCATGTCATAAGAAGATTGAGTTCCTCAGAGCCTGCCCCTTTGTGAACCCTTGATTAGTTTGAGACATTTAACCATCTCAGCTATTTGTTTCTCCTGATCTTCATCTCTTGGGGGTGGTTCAGAGTATACATTTTCATACTCATAGTACAAACATTCACCCACACCCACCTCCCCGCCCCATGCTTTGATTATTTGGAGTAAGACTCTGAGAGAAAGTTTAAGTAAGCTTGTGTGTATGGGAAGGAAAAGATTTAAAGAAGATAAGGGAAGAGCG